AACCTCAGGCCTTGGACAATGACAGAAACATGTGCCTTGATAATGGCTCTCTTTCATATGTGAGCCCAGTGATTGTAACTATTTGAATCCTCTTGACAGACTTAAAAAAGTAGCTTGTCACTGCACATTTATGTCATCTTAACACAGGTGACGACTTCAACATGTTTTCCTTGCAGGATGGCAAGAGGTCAGCTCAGTTTGAGCAGACCCTACTAGTGACTGAAACTGGATGTGACATTCTGACAATCAGACCTGATGACAACGGAAGACCTCACTTCCTGTCTCAGATGTAAATCCCCAAATAAAACATACTGAACAAGCAGCAAAAGTACAGCAAGAGTGAATAAACATACTGGAAAATACTCTACATTGTAAGCTGAATTGCACATGTATTTTGATTGATTCTAGCTCATGACCTCGTAAGGAACTAACGCATTGATGATGTCACCTTTGACAACTTTTGCTACTTCTGTAAGGTTTTGATGTGTGGTAATCAACATCAAATTTGATCAGTTGGGTCATTTTTTGTGGAAAAAAGGTTCTTTCAAACCAACACTAACTTGCATCAACATATTTGTTTGTTAAGGTACAGGCAATCTTCAACGATGTGAAAATGAACTTTTAAGAGACTGCTCTGTCTTATGCTTTTTTTATATATATAAGAAAACCTTTTGATAACCAGAGTATTTCCTTGTAGGTCCTGTAGGCACAATATGTCTCAGGGTGGCATCGAGTTTTATAGGGATGGGGTGTGTTCATGAACTGTGCATGTCATTTTGCTTAAACTTTTAATGAAAGAATGAACTGCGACTTAATGTCAATGTCGCAATTTATTATTTCCCATCTGTTCAATCGTGAATCAATGTAACATTGTTGTTGATGTTTCAGGATGTTGAGTAGTTTTTTTGACGTTGTAAAAATGTTGCTTCCAACCTCAGTGGTCAAAGAGAAAATGTCTGCCTCGAAAAAGGGTAGAATGTCAGTTTAAAAATTTGGAACTTCTTGCAACATGCAGATCTTCCGCTCCTAACTTGATTATCTGCTGACTTAAATCAAAAGATAACTGTATGGCTCCTAAGTATCGCTGCAAGTTGATAGTGTGGACACAAAGACGTGTAACAAAGTAATAAAACGTAGGAGCTCAACATTTGTGTTATTTCAATTTATTTTACTTAAAATCCTGTGATGAAACTCTAAGAGTTCAAACATATTATAAAAAGCTGACTGTCTTCCTCGATCGTCCGGAAAATTATATTTTTGAACAATCTGTGGAAGAAAAATGAACATGTTTTTGCGTCAAATAGAGGCTATCGTTCATAAATACATGATCAATACTTATCCTTGTACCCTCAACTGAGTCATAAATGGTGGAAATTTATTAATTAGAAGTTCTTGTGCTTTATCAGATCACTTAATATGAAGCAAGTTGTGCAAGTTTGTTCCTCTTATTGTTTTGATGTCATCTATTAGCTTTTTTACTTAGCATAGGAACAGTGCTCAGCACCACAGAGCTTAGGGTTATTAGTCCAGACTTCCAAACAAGGTGATCTTTATATTTCCTTCTTTTTGGGTTGTTCGCTCTACAGAATTTAGGTTCATTCCATGTTAGTCAGTCTGCTGAAGTCCTACAGGTGCAGTTTGTCCTTAACGCAGAATTCGCTGGCCTGTAAACAAGATAAATTCTTTGTATTATTTATTGTTGTTTTTTTAGCCACAAACTTGCTGGTAGGATGTGAGTAATACAGTGTTATTGTATTTCTGGCTTGAATCAGCGTCAATGCCAGATGTGATGACTACTTACTGTCGGTGTAATTACGTTAACTAATTACTATTCATCTACTTTTTCACAATTGTCTCTCTAAACTGGTCACTACGTTGAATTATTGCCCAGGGTACTGATGTTCAACTCGGTTTAATGCATAAAGGGGGTAAGTTTCTAAAGAAACTGTGGCGCTGCGTCGGTGGGAGAGTATAGCAGGTAATTAAATGTTAATAACTGAGTAGTAGTATCGCTCTGATGAAGGGCTAACGCTGGAAACGTCAGCTTTTTTACCCTTTACGGCGTCCAATTTATGTTTTCAACTCAGTTGTTAACACTAAACTACCCACTCGGTTTAATGCACGTTGGTACATGGAAGAGGTTAACTTACTCAAATTCTTTATCATCAACCTTTAAAGTCCTTTTAAGGTTAGCTTTCATGCTTTGTAAAAGGTTTTAAAGTGTAAAGCCTTGATAAAACAATCGAACCAACCTTCTGTTCCCTGTTTGAACTTTGATGGTTAGTACGTGTTTAGCTGTTCTTTTCCAGTAGATCTCAGCAGCAAGCGTCACCAAG